TTCCTGAACCAAGTAAACACCTCTCTTTTCAGTCTGGTTTTCCTTTAAAAGCTTCCAAACAGCTCATAAACACTGTTGAAGACTGAATTATTTGCCGGTCCTGTGAAATTAATTTCCAATATTTGTCAAAGTGATTTTAAGGGGGCTAATAATAACGACCACAGAAGTTTTATAAATGTTTTGAAATATATGATTTTTATTCAAGCTAATATAAGACTTTCTCCAGAAGAAAAATATAATAATTAATGCATCAAATATATGAAAAATAATGGTGAATAATTGAGTCTTCGTTTCATTTCCTTCATTATCTGACAAACTCTGTTGAACTGCAGCTGAACTCTCCAGTTTTGGAGCAAGATTAAACTCGGATTCTCTCAGATTAAATGAACTGAATTAAATGCTCATTTTAATTAAGTTGCAATTTAACTAATTGGATAAATGATGTAAAGTACAGTTTATTTCCTCTTCAGTGTAATGCACTGTTTTTCAAATGTATTATCTTCCTGCAAATCTTCCCAGAATCTATAGAGATATCCTCACCTTGATCCAGTCGTCCCTCTCCTCTGCCGTCCTGTCGAGCACACAGAGTTCACAGGGTAAAATGACACAGCATTTGAGCATTGCAAAGGATTGTACAGGACTTTTATATGTATTTTGCTGTTTGTGTGTGTTTTATGTAGAGCTGAGCTGATAATTGTGATTTATTGATAATTACTGGAATTTTCACTTGTTTACCAGCAGATGGCGCTCTAGGCTATTGTTCAACAGCAGACTGATTCATACATGAATAAATGACTGATTTATTTCCTCGTCTCCATGATGACAGCACATAATATTAGACTAGATATTCTTCAAGACACTAGTGTTCAGCTTACAGTGACATGTAAAGGCTTCACTAGGGTAATTAGGGTAAAGTTAGGGTAATTAGGCAAGTGGTGGTTTGTTCTGGAGACAGTCTAAATATATGTATTTTTTAAAGGGCTAATAATATTGACACCAAATGTGGAGGACGCAATTTCACACGTTCTCAGCAAATTCCTGTTTTCACTTTTGCATTGACTTGAATGCAGAAAAATGTAAGTGCTGCGTCAGAGTCTTTGTCGCCCCCTGCTGGTTTGATGTGCCCTTGACATGCATCACAGTGCGGTTTTTACGTTGTCTTGTGCAAACTTTTTTCATGCAAAGAGCAACACAAATGACAAGGAATCACATACAAATGCAAAACAGAAGACAAACAGAACTAAGTGAAGTTTATTTATAAACTAATGTCGAGAGAATTGCTCATGATTGATCACAGCCGGCCCCAGCATTATCCAATCTGTGATTCACCAATCAGGCGATTCCTGAGCCCCTATAAATACCCTGAGCAGTGGCGTAGAGCAAAATGTGGGGTCCCCCCTACACTGAATATTGACAGGGTAACCTGGA